TTAGACGCGAACTCTAACGGGACCTCTCTACCCTCTTGCACCTGCTTCAACACCGCGCCAATGCCAATGCCATCTGTTTCGATGATCCAGGAGCAGGCTTATGGCGCAACGACGCACCGGCTACGCCTGCTTCAGCTGCATGAATGCCTCTCCTCGAGCGTCCGACCAGACGAACAGCCTGCCCTTCTTGAGCAACTCGAACAGTGGGGCAGTGTACTCGGCGAAGGGTCGCGGGATGAAGGGTCGTAGGTACCCAACAGCTCCTAGGAAGCTCTGCAGTTCCTTCCTTCAAGTAGGGGCGGGGTCATTGAGAACGTTGCCTATCCTCCTCTCCTGGCACGCTATCCCTTGCCGCCCAATCTTGTGACCGAGGTACTTTACTTCGGGCTTGAGCCACTCGCTCTTATCTAGCCTGAGGTAGAGGCCTCTCTCTCTGCACAGTCGCAAGACCTTCTCGAACCGCTGCATCATCTCCGGCACCGTGTCCGTCGCGATGATGATATCGTCGATGTAACACAGAGTGCGATCGTCGAGCACCTCCTCGAACACCACGCCCATCGCGCGCTGGAACTCCGCCGGCGAGTTCTTAATACCGAAGGGGATGACGCTAAACTCGAACAGTCCAAGCGGCGTGACGAACGCGGTGGGATGCTTGCTCTCCTCTGCTATCGGCACATTCCAGAATCCCGAGTTCATATCGAGAGTCGTGAAGTGTTGACGGCCTGCTGCGGCCCTCAAGTGGTCCCATATTCTGGGCAGCGGATACGAGTCGGTAGTCGTGCTTTGGTTCATCCTCCGGTAATCCAAAACGCACCTCCACTCGCCCGTCTTCCTCTTCACGAAGTGTGGCGCGGCGGCCTAAACCTCGCTTTGTACGGCTTGCCGCTTGCCTCGAAACGCGCCTGGTACTTGACGCACGCCACCTTTGGGTTCTCCGATACGTCTCTGTATGCGATCAAGAGATTCCACAGCTCCAGCATCATGTCCTCTGTCGGCTCGTTCCGGTATTTCGCGCCCCCTGGACCGTCACTCTGCACTACCTTCTCGACTGCGGCCACCGGCATGCCGACGTCCTCTCCTGGCGCCGCCTGGCTCTTCTTTTTCTCGTCGGCGCTCAGTCCTTGTTTACGAACTTTTGCACCGCCTTCAGTCCTGAGTCCTCATCTGTGATGTTGTGCCTCGGGCACATCCTTGCCCAGTGCCCTTTCCGACTGCACTTAGCGCACCCGTCACTGTCGTGGGGGCAGTCTTTCTTGCGGTGGCTTCTCATGCCACAGGTACCACACTTGTTCCTTGAGCTTGCCGGCCTCGTTCCTCTCAAGCCGCTCGGCCTTGATTCTCAGCACGGCCAAGGAGGTTATCCGTTGGGCTCGCAGCTTCGATGCCATCCACGGGGGATACGCCGCAAGCGCCGCAGCGGTGGGAGCGGAGGTAGGGGAAAGGCTTCTTCCAGCGCTTGCGGAGCCGCACCATCCGGCGTATGCGCTCGGAGAGAACGTCGTAGCCTTCCACTTTGGTCTTGGCGGAAGAGTCCGATCACATCTTACGGGTACTCTCACTGCGCCACGTGCTTGTGGCGTATCTCTTCCTAAGGGCCCTAAGGACCTCTTCGATGGGAGTCGTGTCACCTTGGGGCAGGTCGAAACACGTCTTCAGGTGTGACTCCTGTCAGCACTCACTATCAGTAGCTCACTCTGCTTGTTCACCTTATCACAAACAATCCAGCTCAACAAGGGACGTCATTTGGTGAGCTGAGGTTCTGATATGGGTAAATGTGTGTCGGACGAGTCGAAATAGAATAGGGAGGGCTGTAGTATGGGTTCCAATTCTTGACATGAACTCCTGTTTTGTCCGTAACTCAGGGGGCGTCGCAATGTTCGCTTCAGCTAGCTGGGTGTTGGTGTTTATTTCCAGCGGCAGTGTGCGTTCGAGAAACGCCGTCGCTCCACCCACAGGGAACACCCCGTGGTTCCACACACCCACCTTAGAGGTCAAGACATAAAAAAAGACACATCAAAGCGTTTGACCGAAGGCACCTTCCCAATACGTCCTGGAAGCCCGAAGGTGTTCTTCGGGATCAGGATGTCTATAGCACTTTATGCGACAGTTTGTCAATTTGTATTCTTTTCTTTGGAATAAGGTATAGTGCTTAGCCAATTCAGTCTGGTTGGTGAAGTAGTCTTTAACCGAACCCCAGCGAATGGTCGTGCCAGATGGAGTGGTGGCCACGGTACTCATTTCGATCATGTCGCATTGACAATATTCCGATAGGTTTGTCCGGCATGTCGGACCGTTGCTGTCGCAATAGCTAGTGGGAATGACTTGTCGCCCATACTGTGTTCTTGTATTTGCTCCTTCGTTCAAAGTTTCGGCCATATACCCCACTCTCCAAAGATCCCACCCGGCAAATCCGTATATGTCTGCTCCTAACCACTTTGCAATACCCCTTGCTCGCCCCCCCTTGTATTCGAGCTCCTGACCCGGATCTTTTTGGTTTTCTGTGAACAGGCACTGGTAGGGCTTCAGGTAGTGGTTGACCGCATCCCAGACAGTAGGCAAATCGTACTTGAACGGTTCGCCGAAATAATGACAAGTCACGTCTTGACCATTCTCGTCAGTGCAAACTACCTTTCCGCCGTTTACCTGGGACCAGTCTAACGCCTTCCAACCGCCCGGCGCTGCTTTCACCATCGACTGGGGCTTCATCCGGTGAAGCGCATCATTGCAAGTCCCGTCGGGTACTCGTAGCGTCGCCAACTCATACCCAGAAAGTAGTGTCGTGATATCATCGATGCTTGGCTCGGGTCGCTTTTCGGGATTCGGATGACACTGGTTCACCACGTCGAACTCGGACGTGACTAAACAATCGTGCGCCAGGGCCCGCTGGTATTTCTCCGCCTCCGCCTCATACGCGTCGAGCTGATTGTGCGTCGAGGACGGTAATCTCGTCGTGAATAACGTGGAGCTGGTGGTCGTGTGGTCAGAGTCCGCAGTGCCGGATGGAGAGGAGCTGTAGGCCGTGGTGTCGGAGACAGACGAGCTGTAAATTGGTGGTCTTGGTGCCATCCGGGGGAACCGACTACCACTCCGACGACCAAAATGGTAAAGTAGTAGGAGCCCAGCAATCGCCAAACCACTTGCAGTCGCAGCACCCGCAATACCAAGACGTTTGCACAACCCCGGGCGTCGCCAGAAGCCTTCGGTTCTTTCGCGAAGGGCCTGGCCCTCGATCTCAATACAATTCATGAAACGCCCCGAATCCTGAATCATCAGAAGCCACTTAGCTGGAACTTGATCCCGGACTTGTTCTTGTTCATCTGCATCCAGCGGCCTCACATCAGTGATCTCCAGCCTTCGGCTCCCGTCAACTTCGGTGTCTTCGGCATTCTCAGCCTCCAGCCGCTGCATCATCTTCTTGCCAAATGCTTTCCTCAGGGCCGCATTGGCGGCTGCTGGATCCGCGTCGAGGAAATGATCCTTCATGGCCCGGTAAAGCAAGCGTTCGATGCGACAAGAAGCCTTCGCTTGCTTCTTGGATTCCCCGGGCGGGTGGTAGACGCGGAGCCGGTTCCAACGATTGAGCCAATCGTAGCCAGTAAGGCAGGACCCCAACAACTCTGACGGAGGGGCCAGAACCACAACTTCAGCTGCGCCCTTCCCGTCAGAGACGACAGCCATCCTCGCAATACAGCCACTGGTAGAAGACGTCTTCCCATTGGGACCGATTAACGCCGCCAGTGCCACATACTCCGCCGCATTGACCAAGCGTAAAGCGGTGTTGGCCTTCATCCGAGAATTGAGCCAGGAAAAAACTGAACTGGCTTGCCACATTGTTGTGTCTTTAATTAATTCCCAAAATGTTATGTAGACATAGCCGGTTGCAGCCTGAGTTGAATTCGGGTCCGCGGGCTGAATGGGTTAAGAGTCCCTCACCCATAACGGCAGGGCCTATCGGGCCCCAAATTCATCTCACAAGCTCAGTTCCATCGGTTGCGTGTTCTGGATAGATTGTTCGTCCGCTCGGACCCAGACGACATCCCGGACACCCTCTCCTGATGAACGGCAAAGCGCCAGCAACAACCTGGACGCACGACCTGCCGATCTCACTTTTACTCTGGCACATGTCCAGGCCGAGCTTTCGCTTCAATGCGCCGTGCGACTCTCGGCGGCCCGTGGGCGTTCCTCGGCGTTCCTCTTTACCTCTGGCGACTGACAACTTCCACTACGGCACCAGTGGGCACGCGGGAGTACCCAAGACGCGGAAGAGAGTAGCCAGCATGTTCTACTGGCCCGGACTTGCGGACGACGTAGCGAGAATGGGTAGAGAGTGCCTGAGATGTGCCCGGACTCGAACGAGAGCTCGGCTGACGCACAACGTGCCGAAGGGGAGTCTGAGAATCCGAGCGCGATGGACACAGTAATCCTGGATCACGTAGGACCCATGCAGCTAGACGGGCAGAATTGGTGACTCCCAGTAACGAGCACGGTCACAACTGCGCAGACGGCTCACATCTTCCTGCGGGGCTGGGTGACACCGTTCGGTATTCCGCGAGTGGCTTAACGGACAACGGCGCGAGCTTCGGGGGGCGTTCCATGAGATGGTGGCTAGCGCGTTGGGCTGCGTCCATCTGGCGACGACAACGTATAGGCCGCAGGGGAACGGCATCAACGAAGCCTCCCACAAGGGGCTCAGAAGCGGGTTCAAAGCACTGTGGCAAGAGGACACCGCGACCTGGGTGGGATGGTGGCGGCGGTCTGTCGCACGCACAATACGACACCGCACATCCGCACAGGTGTGACGCGGTACGAGACCTTATTCGGAAGACCACCGTACTTCGCGCGGTTGCAAGAGGTAACCGGCACAATGACAGAGGAGCAGAGGAAACAGAGCCTGGCCGCACAGATGCGTGAGAGATTGCAAAAGGCCATGCTCACAGATAGGCCGCTCGAGGAGGCGGGCGCGGACGACCTACGGGTAGGAGAAACAGTGGTAGTCTCGATGAAGCCAGGGTCACAGGCAGACGCCAGGGGAGGACCGAAGACACCAACTTGGGCGCACACCGCGTGGTCGCTACCAATGAGGATAACAGAGTTGAGAAAAACGCAGGTAGTGGCAGAAAGATGCGACGTGCCGGGGTGGACGGTCACGGCTCAGAAGGACCAAGTGAGAAGGTTCAAGCTGAGCACGGATCCACTACTGCGGTGGGCAACTCAAAAAGGTCAGAAGTGGAATTCATCTCGGAGAAAAATATCTGTGCGCGTGTTTTGTACACACACTTTTGTGCGCGCACCGTGAGTCACCCAAATCGCCGATCGCCTCTCTGCCTCAGAAATCACTAATCAAGCATTAAGTGACTCGGGGACACTTCTTATTTAATACCTCACCATATTAAATACAGAGGAAGCTAGCAACCTAGCGATGCAAGTTAGCACAATCGACACCGAGGGCTTCTCGTACGACGCAGACAGCAGCACCACGTCAGTAGCGGACCAGTTTGACACGACACTGAGTACACGGCAGTTGGAGGCCTCTCCCCTAAAACGACAACTGACGAATTCCGAACGATGATCGAACCAATCTCGACCGTGAGCGCAATGATCATCCGCGAGTGGTATTCTACTATCGTTGACACGGCCCGCACTACAGGTTACCAGGTGATCGAGACAGTCCCCGAATCGCTCCGACGTCACATAGAGGAGGAGCAACTTTAGAGTGCTCAGGCGTCTTCTCCGTTCTCCGAGTGCTCAGGTGGATCGTTTGATTGGTGGGTTGGGGGGCAATGTAGAAGCACATCTGAATCGGGCTGATTACGTTGGCAACGATGTCTGGTGTAATCTAAGGAGATTGCGGAGTTCCGGAATGATGGTTTCACATATATACCAATGAATGACATTGAAGACGTGGTGACTGTCCGCGGGAGGGTGACTGTTAGCTCATTCGAGCTCTCGTCAAACGTTATCTTTGCTGACTTGACGATACCTCTTTACTGGATGGTCCAAAAATTGTAGTTACTTGACGATACCTGGACGCTAATGTTCCTTAATTGACTCCAAATTGATACAGCCTATGTTAGGGTGGGCAAGCCATTCTTACCGGCCAGCATGAGCTATAGGTATCATGTGTTCTTTGACCAACCGCTATAGGATTCCTAGAGGCCAATAAGTGTACATCGGACCGAGTTCTGATTTAGCTCCTTGAAGGTCAGTTCCGTATCAAAGGCAAGCACCATGCCGTCTGGATTGACGACACCGGCCGTCTTTAGTAAAGTTTTGCCTCTGGTAATTCCGAGTCTTCGCGCTATGGTCTCGTGCTCTGTTGTTCGATCGATTCGGATCCTTGCTTCGGAACTTGTCCTGGTAATTCCGAGTCTTTGTGCTATGGTCTCGTGCTCTGTTGTTCGATCGATTCGGATCCTTGCTTCGGAACTTGTCCTGGTGTACCCGGAATGTGGAGTATCTTTCCACGTCGACTTGGGTGCGGGTTCCCTTTATGGGGAGGGACCATTTGAACATGTGTCGTAAAGGAAGGGCCTTCCTTGCGTTCGGCGTCGGTGTGCTAATAATTAGTTGGTTGCCCTTCTCATACACCTCGATTCCCAGGCTGCCATACTTGCTGTCAAACACCCGAACCCGACAATCCTTCGTTTCGTGACCCCTCTTGTGGCAGTTACTACACTCCTGGAGCGCGTACAACATCTCACTGTTTTCATTTTCTACAACTGTTAGGTGAAAAAACGGACCCGTCGTGTCCCGCGTAAAGTGTTCGACCCACCCGGCGAACTACTGTCACCTTCACTTCGCATAGCCTCGATTGTCGTCGTTGCTGTCGTCTGATAAGCTTAGCCGTGCTGCCTTCGTGTAGCCTTCACCTTCAGCCAACACGAATGTGTCGTTGGTGACGGCCAGTTGGGGGTTTGGGAAGCGACACGCGGCGATAGCTACCACCCAGCGTTCGGCCAGGGGTCCCCTCGGGTCGGAGATCGAGTCTCGTCCGTGGAGGCTGAGGGAATATGGGCGAACGTGGGAGTGAGCCGAGTTTCGGACTGGTTGCCTCAAGGCGAGTTCTTGGGGCGGTGAGGCGTTCCGTCGTTGCTCCGTCGAGGCATGCCAGCCGCTATAACTTCACATGTTTCCATCTAACAACCTCCTACGAAACCAGTCACAACTACCAAGCCATTCCACTGGTGGGCCATCTTCGTTACGTCCTCTTCGAATTTAGCAGCGCCGTCCTTCGCATTGCGCCAGAATATTTCCTTCAGCACCCTACGCGTCTCAATCCGCTGATCGATGTCCTCTTTATCGCACAGCGATTTCTCCCTGAGAGCTTGCCGAGTTTCCACGGGAAGCAGATGGTCGTAATCCTTGAGCGCGCAACACCTCACGTTCGTTAACATGTAAATCAGGTTCGGAGTAATCACCTTGCCGCCATTTTCTTCGTTAATAAGCACGGCGAGGCTATCCAACTTAAGTAAGGTATGGTAACATCTCTCGCTGTTGGGACCACTCGCTCGCTGAAAGCGGGCCGACTCGATTATTGGTAGAATTGACGCAGAGGACTCTTCGTGCACGAGACCAACGTAGCACAGTGTCCGGGGTAATCATCTGGTCGTCTGCGTAGCAGTAATGACTCTGAGCCGTCAAACTATGCGACGGGTACCCGTCGGTAGAGTTTTTTGACATGGCGGAACACCCCAGGTCACCCTCGTTATCTAATCCTCATGCATCCGCCTATGATCAATGATCCCCAAAAGCCACCAATTCCGACGTTAGGCTGCGTAGCATATCGAAGCCCGTCGCACGACACGGTGGTGAAGCCTAAACCGCTCTCCTCAGTTTTGAACTCGGTTCCGCAGCTGACATGCACTATACAACAGACCCGGTAGTTGGTAACGGTGCAGTTAACGAGCTGGTACAGCATCTCGGGTAATTCGACACCATTTGGGACCCTTGTAGCCAGGCACATTCTGCAGGCACATTCTGCAGGTATGGGCCTCCTGCCACAAATTATTAGAGACGCTTTCTTTTGAACCGCACCACGCCCAACAGTCCATTGTTACCCTGACATACATCTGGGCCGATGCCCGCCACAGACTTCCATGCCTCTCCTTTATGCACCCCTCTTCCTGGAGTGTGGCCAACCCCCTTCTGCTCAGCCCCATTTTCAACGGAGAGTCGTCATCTGCAGGCTCGTCTTATGCCCAACCAGATCAACCCGCTCCGACCTCACCAGCCGTGGCCTCACCAGCCTCGCAACTCCGGCACCGTCCGTCCGACCCTCGCTCTTCAGACAAATCCGGTCCGAAACTTCGGAAAACCCAACTGTGGGTCGACATTCCCAATTAAGGCAAGTACCCGGAGAATGTCAACTCCACAAGGGCTGGGACTTACTTCCTTCACGTACTCAAAGCTCGCACTCTCGCCAACGACTACGCCCCTGCACCTTCCTCTTCATCTCCTGGTCAATTACACCCTTTGCAACCAGCCACCGACTTCATTCGCTCACTCGAGAGCCCTCGATCCGTCCGTAGTACCTTCCTCTCGGTCCGACAACACACTTCTCCCCGAATCTCACGACAGATCCGGGCACCTCGACGGGAGCAAGGACGGAGCGCCACACCGCCCCAAGGACTCGCCTCGAGGCAACCAGTCCGGAGCTCCGCTCGCTCCGCCCGTATCCCCTCAGGCCTTTCCGGACGAGATCTGACCCGATCTCCACCTCCGAGGACCTTCCCAACCTCGCTCTACAACCGAGGGGGCCCCAAGCGATTACGTGGGAACGCTGGGCAGCTGAGGTGGTTTTGACCCGAGGGCTGAACGGGGTGTGAAGGTGTAGAAGGTTCACGCCATACAACTCCGCCGGTCGGGTCCCGGTCGCGCACCCTAATGGCTGAACGAGTCCGGTACAGTACGCTACCTTCAATTGCTTCAATCCCCGGTCAGCGAACCGGACGGGCGTGTGGAGCAGCACACGTCGTAATTTTTGGTTGGACTCGCTCCATCCGTTGTTATCTCTTCAGCACGAAGTGTGGTTGCGTTTAGATTCCACGGCTCACGGTACCAAAATTGGTGAAACGGTGAAGTGAATAAAAATGCGGGATATTCGAGAGCTCATACGGGACGTGGCTGCGGAGTGTGGTAAACCAGAAGCTGCAGAAACTTTTACTAAAGTGTACTACTGCCCGAACTCTTCCACCGGAACTCCAGCACCATTGCACTTGTTTCAGGGCTAAGGTTGTCGTTTCAGAATTGTTGAAGACAACTGGCTGGATAGTGTCGGAGCGCTGAAAGAGCTTCGGAAAGAGGATTGGCACAACTTGAAACTGCCGTTGAAATTCCTGGCTTGTTTAAGGAAGGAGCTGGAACGGGCAGGTCCCCCCCGGGACCTGCCCCCCCCCGCGTTCGAAGCAGGGCCAGAAGTCTCTGTTCACACTGTAGTTAAGGAGGCAATGCCGGGTCAAAAAGATACGATACCGAACATGGAGTACATCGAGAGAGGCAGGCCGACGTTGTTAGACGACTGGGTTAACATTGACTTACACGGGGTGAGCGAGATTATTGCGGCTAATAGGACGAAGAGTCTGGATTCATTTACACTGTTACGAAGGATCTTGCAGAACGCGATAAATAATCCGAATGATCCCATTAAAAGGAAAATTAGGCTTTCTAATAAGGCGGTGAGTCGGGACATTTGTGCTGTTGATGGCGCTCTCCAATTTTTGATTGGATGCGGTTTTGCCTTGGTGAGAGAACAGACAATGGCCCCCTGCCCTGATTGGACCGGTGGGCCTCCTCCAAGTGACTGTTGTATTATTCTAGTGAAGTTGTACCGTGAACGGATCGATCTCGCTTTAAGGATAATTAATCAGAAGCTTGCCATTGCCCAGCTCCCTGTGTCTACAAATTTTAACCCGTATAAGAGCTCCCTCGTATCCCAGGGCAACAACTTATTCAAACAGGCGAATCACGAAGAATACAGTCCAGAAATACTAAAGGACAATATAAGAGCAGAATTACGGAAAAGAGAACTAGGGGGAGGAAACGAACCTGTGTCTTTGAATCCAAGATATTATCCAGCTGGATGTAAATATAACACTCCATTTCCACCTTTCTTTGTACTCCATTTCCACCTTTCTTTGTACTCCATTTCCACCTTTCTTTGTACTCCATTTCCACCTTTCTTTGTACTCCATTTCCACCTTTCTTTGTGTCCATGCACTCACTCCCTTTCCATATATTCCCGTTTTTTTTAGATGTAAAGAAAATTGTGTATGAGCCTAATGAGCTTGTTGAAGAGTCGAGCTCGTCTTTAGTTCTCAGTGCAGAGAGCTTGGCTAATTTGAAAGAAATCTTGAGCGGGAACGTAAAATTCCGTTCCACGCTTCGAAATCAATTGGTGGCAGTCAAAAAGATTCCCATTTACCCTAAGACCTGCCTGCGGATCATTGCGCCAGATCGGTCCTACGTGGAAATCGACTTGAAACCAAGTGTAACCATCAACGACGTGTACGGTACTATGTGGGACCGACTCTTGGCGGAAGAATTCAAGGCGACCAAGAGCCGCTTTTGGCTGCAGGAAGGACCTCCGAATCCAATCCTTGACGAGACCAAATCATTGTTTGCTCTCGGGATGGTACCCACCGGCCAAGTACGATTGGGATCGGAGCTTGGCAACAAATACAAAGGACCCTGGTTCAAAACCACGTGGGGGTAAATGAAACTAACTTAATCATCCACGACTTTCCAACTTTCCAACTAGCTGTGACTACTGGGATTTCCAACTAGCTGTGACTACTGGGACGGGTTTTTCACAACGGAGAAGGAGGTCTTGCACCGTGTGGCACAACCGTCCTTTCGTCAAGTCACAAATATTCGGCCGCCATCCTTTTGCTGATTTATTTCCAGATGACATCCATGGTCTCAAACAACGCAGGATGATGCTCGTGTAGGGTTTCGCACGCAGTCACCAAACCGGCTGTCAGTCGAATCGTTTTTGCTCCGGCGGAATTCAGAAGGAGTATTATTTTATGAGGCTTGTGTCGCTGGCGAAGAACAGTAGCGCTGTGCGAACGTTGTGTCACAACGACGGTGTGCTCGCCGCCGGGCACTTGGATGGATCGTGTCAGTCTTATATTGGTAGAGGAACACAGGAAGGGTAGAGGAACACAGGAAGAGTAGAGGAACACAGGAAGGGTAGAGGAACACAGGAAGAGTAGAGGAACACAGGAAGAGTAGAGGAACAGAGGAAGAGTAGAGGAAGGGTATGGGATACGGGAAGGGTATGGGATACGGGAAGGGATAGCAGGAAGGACGAATCGATTTTGATTTAGGAATGGTTCCTCAGAGGACTTGGCGAATTGATAACAAGTCAGTGTACAGCGTAAGCGTGAGGGATGCTCATGAAGTGCTGGTGGGTAACGGTGGAGGAGTGGTGTATGTGATTGACCCATTGATGAACGAGTTCCGGTGGGACAGCCGGGTGGCGGGGCAAGCAGTATGTTCAATAGCTAGCAAGGACGACTGGTACTACTTCGGTTCATGGGACGGCGCTCTTTACGCATATCACAGCTCGTCTGGAAAGTGTGTGCCGCAATGGAAGTTAATAGATAAGCTGAAGCATGGTGTCTGCGTCTGTATCTTGCCTCCATATGAAGGAACATTGCCACCATATAAAGGAACATTGCCTATAAGTGGGGAACAAGTTTTTCCAGCTCAAGATTTATTGTGTGTGGGAAGTCAGAACGGAACGTTGTTACTTGTGGATGGTAAGACAGGTCAAATTCGTTGCGTTAAAGAGAATGCTCATGAGGATATCATTCGTAAGATCCGAATGGTTGCCAACCACCCGGTGGCCAAGTTGGTACTGACATGCAGTAACGATGGGACATTTGGTGTATGGGACGGTTATACGTTGGAGTGCTACGGCAAGTATCAAGCAAGCTCGACTATGTCTTTTTGTTTTGATGTCCAAGGCTGGTATGAGGATGGTGTTATAAACGTAGTGTGTGCGATGGATGATGGGTTGGTAAAACATCATTGCGTACAAATAGGTCAAGAACTGGAAGTTGGCTCTTGCAAAAACGAACAGTCCCCTTTGGTGGAGCTGGGCGGCACGACGGTATGGCGTCATAATAACACTATCTGGAGTTTGGCCCTGGACGTGGAGAGCATGGACGTGTATGCTGGGACCGACGACGGCCATATACTTGTTTTTAATAGTAAGGCGGAGCGGAGCAATGTTAAGGAACTATTGTCCGAATCTGTTGTTGCGGCAAAGTGGGAAGAGGTTCGCCAACTGGTGGAGGAGAATGACCGTCAAAAGCAAGCCCAGGTCGCCCTGGATCTCAACAATATACCAAAGGCTCAGGATCGCGCTCGCCATCCGGGAAAGAAAGTCGGACAAACAAGTCTATTTACTGACGATCAAAGCCAGCAAGTAATGGTGTACCAGTGGTCAGGTACGGAATGGATATGCATCGGAGAGATGCTGGGACAGACCCAGCAGGCTAGCACGGTTATTCAAAGCAATAATATTTTTGAAGGTGACGAATTCTTTCCCGCCGGTATCTATGATCATATCTTCGACGTAGAGATTGATACAAGATGTGGAGATAAACCCCGACTGCCATACAACAATGGCCAAGCACCTCGAGACGTGGCTGAAAGGTTTTGCACCCGCGAAAATATACCCAAAACAAACATTCCTGATATCGTAAAGTTTATCCAAGAGAATGCCATCGTGGCCAAACCCCAAGAAAGCCCCAAGACTCCGGCGGCAGAGGAAGTATGCGTCAAATACACCCACTTTAAATTCGATAAACCATCCAAGTGGCAGGCTGCGTTCAAGAAATTAAGAGAGATCGATGCACAAGAAAAGGAAAAAATGAGCCAGAGCGAATATGACCTTCTTTCGTTGGTCGAAACATCCGTTTCAAAATCTAGCTTTTTCCGTGAAGACTTACGGAGCTCGGAAATTCATGTTTTGTTCGATGTACAAGAAGCCACTTTCATCAAATGGTCTGATTACCTACCAGTTCTTGACTTGTGGCGATACTACGTCTTACATGAAAACGTCATTAACTATCTCAGAAAGAACGGTCGAGGATCTCTCCAAATATCATTCCTCGTATCCACTGTGGCGAATAAATTTTGCGAGGATGGCCCAGGCGGAAGCATGGCCATGATGGCTACCCGATGCTTAGCCAACTTGGCTACGATACCCAATATACGCGAATTCATGCTTCGCAATTTTGAAGTCGTGTTTCAAGATCTTAAAAAAATCGCACCCGTGACCGATGACAGACTTTCGACGGCTCTTTGCATGCTGCTCCACAACCTGGTTCTTTCCGCAAACATGGATTTCAGAGCCTCTGGTCCCAACGGCACAAGCGAGTACAAGCCCATCACACAAAGCATCCAAAACTTGGCTAATCAACTTTGTCTTCCACCATCTCCCGCTAAGGACACTCTGGATCAGATACTAAGCACAGCTACCCAGTGACCATCACCCAGTGACCGGTCACTCAGTGACCCGTCACCCGGTGACCGTCACCCAGCGACCGTCGCCCGGTGACCCGTCACCCGGTGACCGTCACCCAGTGACCGTCACCCAGCGACCGTCGCCCGGTGACCCGTCACCCGGTGACCGTCACCCAGTGACCGTCACCCGGTGACCGTCACCCAGTGACCGTCACCCAGTGACCGTCACCCAGTGACCGTCAACCAGTGACCGTCAACCAGTGACCGTCAACCAGTGACCGTAACCCAGTGACCATCCATCATCCAGCGACCGTCACCCAGTGACTGGTTGTAGTCGCGAAGTTCACAGTGACTACTTGTGTTGGGGAAGAAAAGGTATATTCGCATGCACCCCTATGCTCGTAAGATGTCCGAGTGGTTAGATGTCGCGGTGGTCAGGTGCCCCGGCCTCGGTGGCCAGATTTCAATGTCCTGACCTCGGTGGTCGGTTGATTTGATACTCCGGTCCAGGTTTTCCGATCCAGGTCCCCTCGGTCTAGGTCCCCTTGGTCCATGTACCCTCGGTGCAGATCCCCTCGGTCCAGGTCTGCTCGATCCAGGTTCCCTAGTCCAGGTCCGGGTGTTCAGATCGCGCTGTCGTGAAGAGTTAGTATAAGTTGGAGTTCGTTTTGTGTGAGCCAAGGAGTGCTGGTTGCTCCGCTGGGTACGGCCTTGAAGAAGAGTTTGGAGCAGAGGTCATCGTCTACTAGTACCCGTACGAGATTGTCATTGGGGTCTAGTTCTAGTCTGCAGCCTTCTCTTTCAGCAATGTTGGTCCAGCCTTTGCTGAATGAGTATTCGAGGATGGTGGTTAGTTTTCTTTCGTCTGCAAAGCGTACGCAGAGCCAGTCGGTGGCGCTGAGGCCGGGTTCGGCAGTGTCTGCGAGGAGTACGGATTCCTTAATGGTTGTGGGTGATTGTGAGGTGTCATAGGTGACGTAAACGAAGGGCGAATCTTCTAAGTTAAGTTGCTTCGCCTCGGCCTGAGGCAATTTGGTCGCGTAGTCGATGACGTTGGGCGAAATCATCACGGAAGGAAGTTGGCGGAGCAATGGGTCCTCTAGTACCAAGACACAACCATAACCAGCTCCCACCACCAAGTTGGGCTCCCGAGTCTGTAGGGCCTTTTTCACGTTGAACAACCCCAACTTCATCTGCAACATCATCAACACTTTGGTCGTTGTAGCAAACAGGAAATAAAGCAATGCCGCAGTACTCAATAACACCAACGCCCACCACATTCGTCTCAGCACGCGCAACATCAACCAACTGCCCACCATCAAACTCACCGCCAACGCTCCGAACGCGCAGGCAACCAACCACACCACTCGTCGCGAACCCAATCGTACCACCGTCAACCGCCACCCGTGAGCACGGCAGACCTCCGACAGTGACTTCTCCAGGGAAACGATTTTTTCCAGACTATTCAAAAGAATCAATCGCATGTCCTCCGAACGTGGGGGGATCAACCCCACTTCCGTCTACGGCTTCGTATCCTGGATCGTAAGCTTCGTTCTCATAGGTAAGTAGCCGCCCTAGCCGCCACTAACAAGCTTGACACCATCTCGGGTTTCAGTAGCGCTTTTTTGCAGTCGCATACGTGGTCTGGGAATTCGTTCCCGATGACCTGCTGTACTCCTGGGGCATTACCTACTACCCTTGGAAGTACTGGGGCGTCGCTCTCTTTCTCATGGCGCCAGTGGTGTCACCCGCCTACCCATTTCTAATCATGTCTGTCGCCCTCAAAAATAATCCCAAAATAGAAAGCAGGCAATTCGTCGACGACTCACTTGGAGAGATTATGGTGCCGGGAGTCAAACTAGCAACAGGTGATCTCGACCCCAAAATAGTAAGGTCAATAAGGAAGAGATTGATCATTAACCACCTCAAGCAAAAATACGGGTGATAAGATGCGAACTGTCTAGCTTCGTGTACACCACCCTCGTGAAGAAGTCGGTGGCTACTCACATTATTTTCGAAAAGTTGGCTCCCGTTTTTCATGCACACGATTGGGGGGAGGACAAAATTAGTGGTGATGTTGCCGACCAAGGAGAGGGAGTAGCATGTCCGGGCCTGGTATACTTGTAAGCCCCGGGTCTTACATATCGCGATATACTCACCACTCACAGCATACTCACCAGTGGTTCGATACTGTTTTGTCGGATTGAACATTTTGTTGCTGGCGCAATTTCGGCACGAAGACGAAACATCGTGCACTTGTGTGGCTAGCGCCGGTTCGAACTTTCCTTGTTGATAAAATTAAATAATGGTGCTAAGAATGTTTAAAAAATCGGGCGAGGGAGATGGGTCTGTTTGGTGTGGACAAACTGATCAGTGAAGTAGAGGCTCGGTCAGGGAAGTCTGGGCCAAGTCTAATGCAGAAGGAGGTACCGTTGGAAGAGATAGTGAAGGAACATACGCGGTTGTTTGGGTCACGAAGTCCGTCGCCAAGTCGAGGACGGCGGCGAAAACGTACACCGCCGCCGAGGAAGGAGTCCAGCAAACGTCACCAGTTCGAAAGCCGGTGGCCGCTGAGCAACCGTGACCAATCCGGTGCTGACCGGTATGGCTCAGAGAATTGCCGGGAGCGTCTTGGGCGGAAAGGCGCACGGCGGCGGGGGAGTTTTGAGCGCGGTGGGAGCTCCGGGTCGCCTGTTGCTACCAACAAGGGGGCCAGCCTGCCCCCGGTGCCGCGTTGCGCCGCCGAAGCCCGAGCTTTATCGGCTTACTATCAAGTATACCATCAAGAAATGGGGAAGCGGAACACTAGAACCCCCTCGCCCTGTCAGATCTACGGAGCTCCCTATCACACCCCTTACGGAACAGGCCATTACTCGTCAGCCACTGACTCGGCATCACAACGCCCCAATAGGTCGCCTCGCAATTCGTCGCAACGACTCGTCGCCTCGACCGTCCGCAAAAAGGTGTACGTTCCTGCCCCCAAGGGAGATCAAAACGACGACCTTTGTGTGGTGGGAGAAATTGTTTCCCAAAGCGGCTCCAAACCCGTAAGCTCCTTACACTCGTTCTGTATCGGTCGGAGTTCTGTTTCAGGGTTTTGTTTCTTTCAGGCTAGAAAATATCTTGCCAGAAGGGCTATGGAAGAGGGCGGGGATTTAATTATTGTGTCTTCATCGGAAGGTGAAATTGAAGATTCAGCATTTGACGACAACAGGTGAATGCACTTTGCTAGACAAGACGATCGCCATAAGCGGATTCGATCCTATCTCATGTGGAGCGTGTGTGGTGCAGTGGTAACTGGTCTTTGTGCTCTGTCTTTCTCTACCTTCGCTGTGGTGGTCCAATTAGAGCAGCGGATTGACCGTTTGGAGCAAGTTCAATTGGAGCAGCGAATTGACCGTTTGGAGCAAGTCCAGCCGCTGTTCAAAACGCGTTAAAACGTCAGCGTCCCTCATTCCGTTCCATCCGTCTCACGCCGGCACGTCAAGGTGCCGTGTTCTACATCAAGATAGCTTCGTCTAAGTTCTTAGACGAGGTTGGGTTCTTAGACGAGGTTAGCTAGTTTGACCAAGACGTTGTAAGCGTCCAGTATGCCCGGTACTCTGGATAAACCTTCGAACTGCGGGTTGTGTCTAGCGGTCGTAAGAATAGCATTCTGCACCTGAGCAGCGGTGGCCTCGGGTATAACCGACCACACGAATGCGGCAATACCAGCTGCAATAGGGCTGGCAAAAGATGTGCCGCTCCCGACGGTGCCAGTGGGCGATCCTCCTGAAACGAAGAGAGTTGCAGGCAGCGAGGATTGCAGGGTTCGGTATGGAAGTCGCTGATGGGTCAGTGGAAGTCGCTGATGGGTCGCTGATAGTCGCTGATGGGTCAGTGGGAGTTTACTTTTATCGATGCTAACGATTTCAGAACCAGGCGTGAAAATCTGGACGCTGCTCGGTCCGACATTGCTGAACATGCTGACGGAGCCCTTTTTGGTGTTGCTTGCGATACTGATGAGTCCGGGGAGGTTGTAGGAAGCGGGAGTCCAGAGTTGGGTGTTGGGGCATCTCTTGCCGGCGCAGTTCTTTTTGCCGCGACAGTCGATGTTGCAGCCGGCGTTGCCGGCTGCGACGAAAGCGAGATGGTCGCCCTTGCCGAGCAGGCGTTCAAAGGCGTAGCGTTCAAGACGATCGTCTCCGAAACCACCGTAGCTATGGTTGCTGACTTTGGCTCCGGACTTGGCGATGTGTTCGAGAGCGCGCACGATGGCGGTGGTGGAAAGGGTGCGCGTCTCATCATTAAAGATCTTGATGCAAATGAGCTTGCAGTTCGGACAGGTGGCTGCGATGCCCCAGTGATTGTCGCTCTCAGCGGCAATCAACCCGGCTGTTTGGGTGCCATGTGACTCGGTCGACTGAGTGGGGTCTGGCGACTCGTTACCGTAGTCGTAACCAAGACAACGCCCGAACCCGTCCGTCTTGGCCTTCTTCGGACAGCCACCTGACCACGCCAACTTCCGGACCAAGTCTTCGTTCGTGGCGCAACCGCTGTCTGCGATCGCCACCGTCAAACCCGGAGCGGCACGCAACACCTCCTTAAACTCAATTGGGGCAGCAGCTAGTTGTAACTCCCCGGCCCCCCTGCCAGCACCCTCGCCCACGTCCCCCACGATGTCCAGTGGCCCAACCAATGGCGGAAGACTGGCCGCGCGATGCCAAGGAAATGAGACGCCACTGGCACGTTTCCGTGCAATCAGCACACTCGCGGCCCATGCGTCGATCACGTTTGCGCCATACTCCACCCCTTGGCTCGGTCCGTAAAGGTACCACTGCTTACCAATCAAGGCATCCGAAGGCAGACGGATTGCGTTAGACGCGAGGTCCTGCTGGCCCTGCAAACTTGACTTGGCGAATACCGGCGCCGTCGAGCCGTTCATGAACAGGGTTGGCAAGTCGCGCGCCTCCGTAAAAATGTCCGCCGGCAACGACGTCGAATCGTCGTCTTTCTTCGAATACCGCTTTCGCTGCCGGGCCAGACTCACACCGTCCGACTCCACAGCTTCGCCACTCAACCGGTCCAGTCCAAATCCAGAGATCCACTTCAAAGAAGGTATACCCCTGTACATAGGCGCCTCTACAGACGAGGCCACTACAGACGAGGCCACTACAGGCGACGAAGACATCATGGATGAGGGTATTATGGACGAGGATACCAAAGATGAAGACACTCCAGATGAAGACACTCCAGATGAAGGCACTCCAGATGAAGGCACTCTCAAGTACCCCCACGGAACAGGCCCCGAGTCATCCGTCTCGATCAGGCTTGTTGGGGCACTCCGGTGTCTCCACCACCACCGCTCTCCACCGCCGGCACGTTCCTCTGGTCTGGAAACCCCGGGATAGCGTCGAGCAGACAAGACCGTCGGAGACAAGACCGCCGGAGACAAGGCTGCCGGAGACAAGACCGTCGGAGACAAGACCGTCGGAGACAAGACCGTTGGAGACAAGGCCGTTGGAGACAAGGCCGCCGGAGACAAGGCCGCCGGAGTCGTGGGTCTGGGCTGCGAAGTCCACTCGGCTTGGCGAATGAAAGCCGTATCCACGTCAGGGGAGAGTCGTCTGTGGCGGTCCGGCGCGGGACCGATCTCAACGCAGGGTATTCCGGCCAGGATTTTTTGGAACGTCAGTTTCTCGAACCCGAGCGTGTTGTGGATCAAGAGCAAATCTAGCCACGGTAAGTACTCGAAACGCACAGGAGGAGCGATATGCTGGAGTCCAGAAGACCCGTTCCCGGAAGAGCCGTGTAGAGTGCCATTTCGGTTGGTTTCAGCATCAGCAGCAGCGTTGGCGGTGAAGGACAAGCCTCGGGCAATATCTGAGAGCACGTCCACAGGCACTCGGTCTTGCGACTCCTTTGCGTCCTCTATGAAGTCGAGGTCGACCTGTGTAGATGATTGCAGAGCGGACGACCAGACGACGTCCAGTTCCTCTGGAGTCGCATAATAGTTGCGGGCAGGGTCCCGTAAGCAAGCGGGGTCCAGCCGAGCCAAATATATCTTTGGAACCGCCTCTTCCACGAAGCTCCAGCAGTCCACGCTCAGCAATAAGCCCCACAACAAACGCAGCATGACAAAAGGTGTCCCAATTCTCCTATGAAAGCACACACACTTCCTGGAAAATAGGTGCCCACACTACCGGATGACACACTCAGGCTTATACAGTGCGTTATATAACAACGTTAACTGGCTCGGCTCGCCCACCACGGACCAATGATTGCCATTGGGCACTTCCGTGAACGTCTAAGACATAACACGTGTGTCTGTGCAAATCACGTTACGTGCATCGGGTGGGTGCATGGGCAGAAGGGGTGCATCGGCAAAGGGGGTGCATGGGCAGAGGGGGTCGTAGCGGCAGAGGGGGTGCATCGGCAAAGGGGGTGCATGGGCAGAGGGGGTCGTAGCGGCAGAGGGGGTGCATCGGCAGAGGGGGTCGTAGAGTTTTAGTCAGAGAGGTGCGACCTACGATGGATTCCAGAAATTTTTGTTTTGTCTGGTCTCTGTCTGCTAGCAGATTGGCGGCGACTTGGATGGCATGTTGATAAAGATTCCAGCCCAGTTCGGGTTTGACGAGGTTGTCATTCGACCCGTGGATGAAGGCGAGCTTGAAGGTGCGTAGGTCGTCATAATTTTTGGCGACGGCAGTGAGCAGTTTGGCAACGCCCGTATAGTTCTCCCAGGCGAGGTCTCGTCGTTCGAAGAACTCTACGAGCTTTGTTGCCAGCGGTTCCATGACCCTCGGGACGTTCAGCCACTGCGTGGCGCACTCAGGTATGTTCGTCGGTGCAGCCACCAACACCAAATCTGATAACGTCGCCTGAGCCCCGTACGTCGTCTCCAGGTACTCCGCAGCCTCCACCGCCATACCGCAACCCAGGCTGTAGCCCACGACACACAACATCACGCCTCCGACCCCACCTCCGACCGGCGGCGCCAACAGAGTCATAAGACGGTCCAGTGTCGCGAAGGTCTGCCGGCGAAATTCCCCCGGCGTACTCGAACCGATGTTCATTCCGTAACCCGGCAATTCAAACATCAAAACCATCGTGTTGAACCGATACAAGTCCGTCTGGTTCAGCGTCGATGCAGATGCGATCGTAGCGCGAGTAGCAAACACATGGTACATTCGCGACAACATCGGCAACCAGTCTAGTGATAACATGTCCTTGCCGCCGAACAACAGTAACACCTGAGCACCTTTTTCGCACTGCTCTGCCTTGCTCACCACCGCCATCACTTCGTTGTTCGAAACTGCACGCCTTACTCGTTCCTGCCAACCCAGGCCGCCACCCCTTCCCAAAGCCTCGCCCCTTCCCAAAGCCTCGCCCCTTCCCAAAGCCTCGCCCCTTCCCGAAACGTCGGCTCTCCAACTAGTCTTTTGCCGCTTGATCAAACGACACCGACAACCGCTGCTCTCCATGCCAAAGAACGACTCCAACTCTGCCGACGAGTCCACCCGCCGCTCGCGCATCTCCGTACTCATGGGCTCTTCCCCGTCGGCTTTGCGGGCTGTCCAAGTTCCCAGACGACTCACCCCTGCAAACTCTCGGTCCGCCAAACTGCCCTCTCGGTCCGCCACACTGGCTTCTCGGTGACTTGTGAAAGAACGCAGGGCTGCCCCTCGCCACGAGCCACGCTTCCGGAACTCACGATTAGAAGTCTCCTCCCACTTGGTAGCTATTGATTCATTGAACGAGCTGCCCAACACTTTCCGAAGACAATCCTCTCCCAACTCATTGAGAAATGAGTACAGTCCCGACTCATCAACACGAGCGCAACGCAGGGAAAATGGCATCAACAACATGCCACACACCCCGTTACCGCTCTCATCCAGAACCGGACTTATGTCGCACCAAGAATCTCGAAATTGCACCGCGAGTCGTCGATAAAAACCCAGATCTGTAGACCAGTAGTGCCGAGGTCGATACAGTAACCAATGCTGCCATGTAGGCTTCTCACTTGTTTCCCGCTGCTTCTTTTTTATCGACATCTATAACCTCGTGCGACATGGGTGTGTGAAAAAGACATGGGTGTGTGAAACTGACACGGGTGTGTGAAACTGACACGGGTGTGTGAAACTGACACGGGTGTGTGAAACTGACACAGGTGTGTGACACTGACACGGGTGTGTGAAACTGGGGGCTGATTACAGTAAGGGGTGAATCCGACTCGAACAGATCTTGCAAAACTAGTCCGCCATGCAGGAGAGGTCTTCGTTGCGATGTAGGCGCTCGTCGATTCCTCATCGATTTTTGACGAGACACTGACGCCGGATCGAAGGCAACTTGGTAAATCGGAGCCTTCATCGGACTCTCGAACGAGACGAGGACCGTGTCTATTGGAATTAGGTCATCTACAGCGGCACTGCATCAGCGTTCTTTGAGGTGGGTGGGTGGGGGGTTGAGGGAGGGTGTCAGTCCAGGTATTCGTTTATTGGGTACCTTGTAGCACGGGCATATGCGCCCTGGATTTCTGTATAAAAATGGTCCTCTAGTTGCTATGACCATTTCGCTAATTGGGTGTTAAGGAGGGTGTTGCCGTGTAGCCTTGCGTTGTGAAGCCTTGTGTCGTGTACCAGGAGACGTATTTTCTGAGACACAAGGATCGCTCAGCCTTCTTTACGGATTCCTCGTAAACACACAACTGCGCCATGAACCCGGGATTGGGACTGATGCATGGGCGTCGAGATCTTACGAAATGAAATACATCATACAACGATTGACTCTATTGGGAACATAAGGTGATGTGACCTAAGGTGATGTAGGGTGTTATCGGGAGGGGGCGTTACGGTCACGTTCATAAAGTACGCAATGGCTATAGCTGGACTTCTACTGATTCCTGATTTGCAATGAATCAAGGTATTGTAGCCAGCAGAGGCTTGCTCCTGAATGAATTCTATCACCATGTTCATCTTGGCGAGGAGTGGTTCGGTACCCATATCTTCAATGGGCAAAAGGATTCGTTGAATGTGCGGGGGCAAGGGTTGTTCCAACTCATCATCGATGCAACACGATACCAGTCCGCGAACGTTGTGGGTCTCTAGCCACTCCACCGAACCAGCTTCTGTCAACCCACCCAAATAGACACCCGGGCTTAACAGTGACATATTCGACTTGCCAGAACCTGCCAGACCTTCGATTACCTGCCTCTCAGAGTAGCCTGCCTCTCAGAGTAGCCTGCCTCTCTGAGTAACCTGCCTGAGCTGACCGACCTTGATGCACTAGATCAAATTGAACTCAATTCCACCTCGTTATCCAGGACCTTATCCAGGACCTTATCCAGGACGTCGTTTACTAGGGCGTCGTTTACTAGGGCGTCGTTTAATCTGCTGGCAATGTGACCGAGAAGCACCACCAAGCACAGGAGGTTCCGATGGACAGACTTGAGAGGGTTGGTTCACTGGTTGCAGAAAAATTGTTGATCAAAAACCATGCCTGAGGAAAGTTGGTTGATTTTGTCTTGAGGAGTTCCCAGATGTTTGGCGATGGTGAATCCGAAGAGGGCTGCAGATGCAGGCCCGTCGCCCGTAATGAGTCGGTGGGCGTCGTCTGTATATACGTGCCCGTGGACGAGGCTGTCACCCATGGCCTTCTGGAATTGTTCGGCGGGATAGCAGACCCCTTTAGCCCCGCCGAGAAGGTTGTTGGCAGCAAGTACTTCAGCCGGAGCGGCGCAGATGGCGGCGATCCAGCGCTTTTTGTCCGCTTGATTCTGCAGCATTTTCTTCACCGTTGCTGATTTACCAAGTGTGGTAGCACCGGGCATGCCTCCCGGAAGCACAATCACGTCGTAAGACTGGTCCTCCATATCCTCAACCATCCCGTCGGTCTGGATCACCACATTGTGGGCCGAACGAGCTTGCTTCTTAGACGCGGTTGAGACACTAGCCGTACTCACTTGGTACCCACAACGGACCAAGATGTCGATGGGAAAACAAGCCTCCACGGTCTCGAACCCGTCAGCCAACAATACCAAAGCCTTAACCGACATCTGTACAAAAAATATCTCACGAAAAACTTGTACTCACGCTCACGTGTGGCACACACAAAACAAGCCTCACGAAACGGGCCTCACGAGACGGGGCTGGTTCACAAAATCGGTCGGGGGGTGGTGAATGGCGATTGGTTCTCTGGTAGGGACGAACTTTCACGGCCAGCCTCGCTGACTGAAGCCACGCTGTGCCAGGAGTCCCTGCTGTGTGTCATCGCAGAAGAACTTTTATCGGTCACTCGGATGCTCCCGACGGAGATTCCCGCCGTCGCAGTGGAAATAGAATCTGTCTTGCTGGGGACGTGTCGTTGGACAGAGGGCGTCTCATTGGAGACAAAGAGCGTCTCATTGGAGACAGAGAGCGTCTCATTGGAGACAGAGAGCGTCTCGTTGGAGACAGAGAGCGTCTCGTCGGAGACAGAGAGCGTCTCGTCGGAGACATGGGAGAGAGAAACCGTCTCGCTGGAGGTCGGAACCGTCGAAGACATCCTGGTGGAGACCGTGGCCGTCTTCGCGGGAGTCGCAGAGGGTGCTCTCGTTGTCTCAGTGTCCAGATGACTGTTATAGTACTGCAGCTGACGGTATTCCTGTTCCGTAAGCTCATCCACCGACCCATTGACCAAATTCCGCGTGCGCGAATCCAGCCACACTTGGTATGCCAGATCCGTGGTACTTGTAATACAGTAGGTAGGGCTTTGTCTTCCGATCACTGCCCGTTCGCCGACATGGCTGTGCATAGGAAGTACTCGCGCACCAGCAATCAGTCCTCGGGAGGCAACCAACACCGTATCCGACTGGCACCGGACCCTATCGATCGGCCTCACGGGCTTCGCCGTGCGGCATAAAGCAATCATTTTTGAGTCGCTGAACGGATCTTCAATAGCGCCACCAACCACTTGATCAACTCCCGTGAAGGCGGGCCACTGATTGCAGTATAGTAACTGGGACCAGTCTACGTGATCCGTGGATGTATTCACAAGCGTGACATCCATATATGACGAGGGCTGCATGCCGGCTTCCGAATCTCCGTCCACTTGAGCCTTCCCATTAATACTCCGGTTAACGCGGTCTACTAACTCCCCACGATTGCGGTAGATTATCTGGGAAGCCGCGATAGGTATCTCAACGAACACATCCTGGTTTGTGGCTGTTCCTTCGCTTTCAAGCACCCCGGCGACCGATTTCAATAACCGTCCCACGGAGACAACTTGTCCGGCCCTTATAAACAAAACATTAGACTTGGAGGCTTCCAACGCCATTAACCGGCGAGAGTAACTGCCACTTGGAAGGTATGCGTCATAAGTGCCAATTTTGATACTCTCAAATTTATACAGCTTTCTCGCAATCGATTCGAGAGATATTAAGGGTAAAATTCGGTCTGCACACGCGTGTGGCAAACTTGCGCACTTTGTCAAAGCGGGCTGAATAATGAGTACCTCGGTGATATTTGAAGAGCGTAGACTTTCAAGTGTTACAACAATGTCCTCCAGATGGCCGTTGGCTTCGATGGCTACGGCAATGTCTTCGGGTCGAAGTGAGAACGCTTGCATGGGAGAAGTGGAATTATCTTGATTCGCAGCATCGGTTACGGTGGCCAATGTGGTATATGTGGTGGTAACGAAGGTGGTAGTCGTGTCGTCCGTGCTTCCGTGATGGTCGTTCATTAGCAATTCATCAAACAACCGGGGGTTCCTCCACCCTTTAGATATTTTAGAGAATAAGTCGAAGATGTCTCGCAATTCGTACTTGTTTCCATCATATCGCAAGTCGTCATCGTGATAATTCCGTGAGAGAAAATCATTTATATCCCAACTAGCTATACTCGGATCAAAGTGCGACAAAACACCTTCAGACGTGCTAGCTGAAGCTTTGACTTCACCCGTATTGGCTTGTCCGTACGTCAGTGGGCTATCTTGTCTGCTGCTGGGTTGTCCGTTGCTTGGTTGTCCGTTGCTTGCTTGAGCCAGTAGCGCGAGTGATAGAGCTGTGAAAGATTTCATGATTTTTTTTTAAACACAGAATGGGAGTGGATGGATACATTGACCTAGGTCATGGACACTCAATGTATTACCAGGTTACCGGCAATACCACCGAGTCGGGCGTCCCACTGGTAATAGTTCATGGAGGTCCCGGGGGATCAAGCAACCTGAGCTGGGGTGACTTCTTTAATCATTCTGTTTTCAAACTGGTTTACTTCGACCAAAGAGGATGTGGTAAAAGCACCCCATTCGGTACTACAGAGAACAATACTCTAGACCTGTACGTTTAATTTCTCCCCCATTCCCCTTGAGTCTTCCTCTGCCTTGTTGGGCCTCCTCAATAAATACTGCGTTAGGTTAATTGAGGACATGGAAAAGCTCCGCGAGCACTTGAAGATTGAGAAATGGTGTTTGTTTGGCGGTAGCTGGGGTACCACATTATCCTTGTCTTATGGCACCAGACATCCAGATCGTTGCATGGGTTTCTTACTAAGAGGTATATTCTTGGCTCGTGAGAATGATATGAAGTTTTTCTTGTGGGATAGTCAGATGCTATATCGCGAGAGCCATAATTATTTGCTGGACGTTATAGAAGAATGCTGTGGTAATAGGCCTTCTAGTTATGAGCAGATGCTGGAATATTGTGGTTGCTGTCTGCATGGCAAGGACGATAAGGCTAAGGTGCGATTAGCTACCACATGGAGCGAGTATGAAACAGTAATTTCGGCCGTTAGCCCAATCCCTGAAGATCCTCTTACTGAGGATCAAAAAAAACAGCTGGTTTCTATCGGTATCCTTGAGCACTATTACATGACTACCCAACTTCCTCCTAAGCCTGATTTGCTTACCCAAATATCAGGCTCTCCCATCAAAAACCTACCTTGCTGGATCGTCCACGGTAGACTTGACCTCGTCTGTCCAGCGACACAGGCTACCGAGCTACATGGAATCTGGCCGGGAAGCAAACTGGCTATAAATGACGCATCAGGTCACTGGACGTTCGAGAAGGCTAACAAGGAAAAGCTATTTGAATTTGCTAGCGATATGGAACAAACGTTTGGTAAGAAAACAAGTGATCAAACCACTTGATCGAACGAACGAACAAAAACCGTTTTATTGTCAACAAGCAGACCTTTTGTTCCATAGTTATTTGTTCCTGGCTGGCTCGGCCGTTGGAGGGGGGGGGGGGTGTTGTCTGGGGCGGGTTGGTACGTCTGGGGTCGATTAATATAATGTCCGGCTTCCCTGAGTTTCCGTCGTCCGCATGTTCCTTTGGTCTATTGTGTCGTAGACAATGTCAGTACCTGTTGCAGTGGTTCTCCAAGGGCCGTCAGGGATGGTGTGTATTAATGACTTCTCTGGGTATCTCCGGTTCTCGTTGACCGGTGGAAAAGGAGCCTTTAATTCCTGCTCTGCTCGGAAAGGGGCGGAGTTTGGAAACGGTGCCGAGCTTGGAACTGTTTGTGGAAGTTGAAAGGGAAGCGAAGTAGCAGGAGCGTAAAGGCGCGGTGCCGGTTCGGGTGGAATGCCTGATCCGGGTGGAGGGAACGGTCCCACGCCGTTAACAAGACTGCTGGATCTCTGAGCCATCCATCCACTCTGGCCCACACTATTCCGCGCTGCATCCAAGGTGTCTACAGCCAGATTGTCCGCCCGGGTCGTGATATCAGGGCTGTGCGATCTGTATTCTCTGGCAGCCTGTCTCATCTCATTCGCAATTTCCTCCATACCTTGGCTTGGAAGAGGCGAGTTCGAAAATACCGAGCCTGGGAATGAAGTCATAGGGATAGAAGAAGGCAAGGTCGAGCCCATGGGAAACGAAGCCATGGAATCACGGTAATCTAATATGCTTGTCCTCGGAGGAACGTCCAAAGGCTTCTTGCCTCCCTCGTTTGGAATCCATTGCTTGGCATACTGGTAGTAGTCGCTTATGTCAGAGTGTTGCCTCATGAACTCCGCGAAAGCTTCTTTCTCCTCTTCGTTCTTCTTGGCTCGCCTGCTTTTAGTTTTCGAGGGAGAATGACTGTTATATGGCTGCAAGTCCTGAGGAGGTGGGAACATTGGTTCATCTACCACCGTTTCTGAAATAACCTCCGTTACCGTCCGATCGTCGTAGAATCGCTGCTTAATGTGGGGAGGTACTACCACACGTTTGTTCCGCAATGAATCCAATGCAGCTTGACGCTCTTTCATTGCTGCTAAGACTGCAGCATCATACGGAGCTATCTCCAAAAGATCCCCGGCAAGCGACATCCCTGAGGGCCCGTCCTTTCCTCCTCTATGCGATTGGCCTCCCAAAGCCACTGCGACACCGGCTGCTCCACCGATGGAAGACCCAGAGAGGGAGGATCCAGCGATGGGTGACCCAGCTATAGGTGATCCAGTAATAGGGGATCCGGTCATGGTGGACCCAGCGATCGCAAGTGGTTGCCTTGGCTGTGCTTTTACCACGGTAGCCGTCTTCACTGTTGGCTTAGAGTTATTTATCATCGAACTCGGTGCGATGGTGATGATACCATGGCAAATTGACGTCAACACTAGCAAGGATCGCATTGCCTCAGCTGGAAAACAGGAAGAAAAAGTGAAACAGAGTAAGGAGCACACGCGTGTGTCCAACACGCGTGTGCTCCTTACTCTGTTACCCTGTTTCTCACTTGGCCCAGTCGCACTATTGGTTCAAGTTGCTCTGTTTGTTTGGGCTGTTAGGCTATGCTAATAAAGGACGCGTGCTGGTACTCAGCGATTTGGCTCATCCTGGGCACGAATACGTGTAGCGCTTATTCTGCGAATGTTATACCCAGACAAACGCCGGCGGGCGAAGCACCTGGAGACCCTAGAAGGTACATCCCCGGGGGCGGATTTGCACCGCCTGATGACATTGAGGTGGCGGAGAAACTATATCACCCTGAACGGAGTTCTTTGGCTGACGCCCACGAAAGCGGACGTAGCAAATTAATCGCAGGGGATCACTCTGGACACACCGGTGACAGCCCCGGAATGAAGCCGTATGATTCCAAACACGATCCTGGAATCCCTCTACATACCCAACCAACGGAGAACTCTGGTGATATTAAGGGAACTGGAGCACGGAAAAAAGATGGTAATACGCGGCGCCAAGGAAAGGTAGCTGCCGCTGCAATGAATGATTCATCGGATGATACATTGGCGTCAGCAGTCGCTTCAAATTACAGGAGCCCGCTGGCGGAATTCGTGAAATCTCAAATAAACAGCAAATTGAATCAGGAGACCAAAGGCAATCAAGAACAAGACGATAACTGGACACTACAACAGGCCGGAACGCCGCCGCCTGCCGGAGCTTATTCCAGAACTCCTAACTCCCCAAAAGGGTATCCGATGCCGGCTTCGAACCCACTCAGTCCGGCGCCCGTCCACGGCCCGAACCATCCTACTGCACCGAACCAGCCCAATAACCCTCACTATCCTAACACCAAATCCATGAGCCCGAATCAACCCATGGGTCCAAACCAGCCCGTGAGTCCAAACCAACCAAATGGACCTCATTATCCGGTCGCCCTACCAAGTGGTCCGAACCAACCACTGGGACCGAACCAACCTGTGGGCCCCTACCAGCCAAATGGTCCTCGCTACCCTGTGAGCCAGCCGAGGAGTCCGAGCCAACCAAATGGCCCCCATTATCCGGTTAACCCACCCATGGGTCCAAACCAACCCATCGGCCCCCACCAGCCAAATGGTCCTCACTACCCTGTGAGCCAGCCGAGGAGTCCGAAGCCAA